TACTGGTATATTTTGTGCAATGGCAGCACCCATGATGAGTCTTAAATCTGAGGAAGCAGCAGTCCAGAAGTTCCGAAATGCTGGTGGATTGGCATAGCCTCAGAGAATGCCTTGTGGCTTGGACAAGCTGAAGGAGAGGACAGCTAAAGCTGGAAAGAAACACCCGGCAGTCGGGTAAGGACAGCCCCACAGACAGTCTATTATGCCCAAAAGCTCCCAAAGCCTCAGGCTAAGGTACGGGGAGACGTGGAGCTGGGAGAATGCTTTGCAGATACACAGGCTGCTGCACCCTCCACCAGAAAGAGGCCTGGCTGCATTACAGTCCTCTGATGAGGAGATCATGGATGATACAGCAGACCTTAGGGAGAGAGAGCAGCAGCCTATTTTGGGTGAAATTCTGAAAGCAATGAAAACCTGTACTGCCACAGTTAAATCAGTTAAATCCCAGTTGGGAGGACTGCAAGAGGAAGCCGATTTGTTTAGACAGGACTTTCAGAAAATCTGTGAACGCACTACAGTTGCGGAGTCTCATATTAGTGATTTGGAGGACTAGCTGCCACCTTTAGCTGCTGAACCTAAATCTACAACCCGCATGGTGCATGCAGGTAATGACCGAGTGGATGATACTGAGAACTATTTAAGATGCAACAATGTCCACAGTCTTCTCAGGCGCCCCGAAGGAAATGATCCTACTGAACTAGTGGAAAAATGGTTGCAGGACATATCTGGGCAGGATACTTTTATGCCTCTGTTTGCCCCCAACGTATGCCTCCTAGGGAATTTGCCTAGATCTATCTTTGCCAGGCTACTTCACTAAAGGGACAGGGAAACGGTGCCGCGTTTAGCCAGGGAACATTGCAATATCAAGTACAACAGTGTCCCTGTATCCTTTTATCTGGATTTTTCTGCTTTAGTGCAGCATAAATGCTCGAAGTTTGTGGAAGTCAAAAAGCATCTGCAGAGACTTTTGCTCACGTATGCCATGCTATACCCTGCCCGCTTGTGGGTACAGCTTGTGGTAGGACCCACTTCTTTAACAATGCTGTCTCTGGCATTCTATGGAATTGCTGGATGTGAATGACACCTCTCTCAGTGGACACTGAGGAGGAAGAAGCTGGATGACCACTTGTTATCAAGCGTGAGTGATCACTGCCTTACAGCAGAGCAGTCTCTTTTCTCCTTTTTTCTTTTGGAAGATATACGAGCAGGGAGATCAGATTTTTATATATTCCTTGTTTTGTAGTTTTGGGAGACCAACGTGGTTTCTATCTTTACAATGTATGCATATCTCCGTTGATGGACACTATGCCCAGGGGCTTTCTCAGAAAAGGACCTTCTGGGAATAGAAGGAATAACCTAATTGGAATTTTTGTTGTTGGTATTAGCACTCCACTATTTTTTCTAAACCTTCCTATCCTGTTGGGTGGGATATGTACTCTTTTGCAATCAATATGTCTTGTATTTTCAGTTTGCACCTATTTAAACCTGGTTCCAGAACTACACCTGCTCATATGGCTTCAGCTTCGCTATTACAATAACTTGGATGGTTCCCATATCCCTTACATCCTTATGGCCTATTTGGGGAGCATTGTTAGGGATGCTGGACAGGTCCTTTCTATGCTTGCTGGGGGGACGGTGTGTACTTGCATCTTGGGTCATGATCATTTTTCAAGAAGCTCATGTCTGAGGTTAATTGAAGGTCTTGCAATATTGCTAGTGTTATTGTACTAGTCTATATACCACCCCCTTTTCTACCAATGCGAGACATTTGGTGACTTATCTGACAAGCCTGACATACGCTCTTCATACTGGGAGACTTTAACAGCTGCCTACAGTCACAGCAGGATAGGCATCATCCTCCTGTTGGTCCACCGACATCTACAGGATCCCTGTTGGCCCACTTTATTTGGAATTTCTAATGGCAGGACTTGTGGAAGATTAGAAATTCCTCAAAGCTGGCTTTTTCAACTCATTTATCTTTATCTAGGATTGATTTATGTTTAAGTAACACCGGTGCACATACGATTGACAGAGAAATAAGCACAATCAGATGCTCCTATAACTATTGAGGAGATGCAGGAGGTGGTTGGTTCATTCTCTGCTTGTAAAGCCCTGGGGGAAGATGGAATTCCCATAGAGATTTACAGGCGATATTCAGAAACTGTTCTGCCTCATTTATTGGAAATATTCACTGCCACCTTAAAATCTAAACGTCTTCCTGATTCTATGCCCAAAGCAATTATTGTTCTCCTGCTGAAGCTGGGCAAGTCTCCTATGGATCCAAGCTTTTTTAGGCCCATTTCTCTGCTTCAGTCAGATATAAAGATCCTTGCAAAATTTCTGGCTCTACGCCTAAACAGGGCATTATCCACCCTGATCAGACTGGCTATTCATGCCTGGTAAATCAACAGCCATTAACCTTGTCGAGTTCTTCACATTAAAATTTTGGGATAATGTAAACGTTTGGCAAAAACTATTGCTTTCTGTGGTAGGAAGAGCTAATTTAATGAAAATGATTGTAATGCCTCAGTTTCTATGCTTTCTTCATAACACTCCCATAGTTCTGCCCCTTAAGCTTTTTTTATGCCACTTAACTCCATTTTTCATCAACTACTCTGGTGGCAAGGTTCAGCAAGGATCTGCTTAGAACAATTACAAAAACCTAAAGAAATAGGGGGAATAGCATTTCTGAACTCATGGGTATACTATTTGGCTGCTCAATTGCAGCATCTGCAGCAGGGTATGATCACATAAGAGCCAGTTGGTGAGTCTCGAGACTCTTTCCTGTCCATTATGCTTCAACATGCCCACTCCTCCTTGCTCCCAGAGGGCTTGGAATCTCAATTATTTGCCAAATATAACCATCTTTTCTAATTGCCATGCATCTTTACTGAATATATATTTGGAGGTGTATAGGGCTGTGGATTTGTGGGAGCCTGATGTGGGGGGCATGCCTGGAGAACAGTGGGAAAATGTGCTGGAAGCGGTGTATGCTAGTTCTCTTAATGCCTCTCAGCGTCTATCACAATTGTACCTTTTACTGCGAGTGCATTATACCCAGGTAAAACTGTTCAAACTGGAAATTCTGCAAGACCCAATCTTCCCTAAATGCAGTAGGGATCATGGGGATCGAATGCATATGCTGTGGAGGTTCCCAAAATTGCACAGATATTGGGAGTCAGTTCTTGCTACTGTTAATAGTGTATTCCAAAACAGCCATCCCCCCTTTGACTACAGACGTCTGCTGGGGATTTTAGATGATATTATCACGGATGCCTTTACTATGGAAGCCACATCCAGGGCCTTGTTTCAGGTACATAAAGCTATTCTTTAGCACTGGAAAAGTAATTTCCCTTCATCCCTTAAGGAATGGATTGACCACATGGGTACCACCCTAAGATATGAACGAGTCACTTATCAGCACTGCAAATGTCCTGCTAAATTTGACAGGGTTTAGGGAAGTTGGCACCAGTATATTTGGTTATTGATAAGATACTGGGCTAGGATGCCTTTGTCTGCTGTTGGTTAAAATGATTCTAAAGGTTTAAGTTTTTTTTTTACCTTCATGTATTCTATGCATGAGGGTTAAAAATCTTCTGTGCGCAGTGACCCCTCCAATTCTTACCTGAGCCCCCTCCGATCCAACAACATTGACAGCTGTCTGGGGACCCTTCCTTTTCATTGGCTGAGACAGCAGCGGGAGCCCACTTCTTCCCACTGCTGTCAATCACAGCCAGTAAGCCAATAAGGAGAGAGCGGGGAGTTTCCCTGGGGGCACTGCTCAAGGGGGAGGAGCCAGGAACAGCGGAAGGGACCTGAAAAGAAGAGGATCTAGACTGCTCTGTGCAAAACCACTGCACAAAGCAGGTAAGTATAGATACAGTATGTTTGTTATTTATAAGAAAAAAAAACAAAAAAAAAAAAGCTGTCACTTTAACACTATCTGACTTTGGGGTATGCCACACAGTTCTGATGCTGGAAGCTGTACTTGATTACCTGATCCTGTACATCACATTTTTGTATTGTACTGTGAGTATTTCTGGAACCTGTATGCTTGAATTTGTACAAATAAAAAAATCTTTTCTGATATAAAAAAAAATAATTATCTACAAGCATGGATAGTGCAAGCCTGTTTAAGCCATTTTTTTTTAAAAAAAATTCTTATTAAAAGAGATTAATGAGATAAAATTCTCTTCTAGGTTGTTGGAAGAGTCCGATTCGTCAGACAGGCCTGAAAGAACAGGTGTACATTGCTTCACCTTACCCACATACAGAAGCTGAGTTGGTGGCATCCCAGGATATATTGAAATATTTGTCTACCTTTAAGAAAGACAATAAGTAACTGATGTTTTACGAGGAAGGGAAACACATGGGGGGCACCTCTTTGTTACTACAGCCAAAATCACAGCAGACTTCATGACGCTATCAAGGGGTTCCATAGTTAAATGCTTCTTTTTTTGGGTAACACTTGGAGTTCACTATAGGCTGTAATGGACACTATTAAACAATTTGGTACCTTCTCGGGATTAACTATAAATTGGACTAAATCAACTTTGTTACAACATAAAGATAACCTAACCCAAGTCTGCCAAAGACATGTAGGATTCGGGTAAACTTTTAGATTCTTCGGCATGTCTTCGGAATTTTAAACAAAGATATCTTCATGTTCATCCACAAGAAAAGGTTGAATTTGACCAAATTTGCCTGCACCTTGATAGGACATGCTGCAACCAAAAATGCAATGCAACACAGTTCAAACTCAGCCTGTGAACTGTAATGTGTACTGTTATCAGTAAATGCCAATTTGCTGACCCCCATGTGACATGTTTCAAACACGTCAAATGCAGCAAAACAATACCGACTTAAACGTCTGACAGGCAATATTTAAATTCTTCCAGTCACAGCCTACTCAGTCTGTCCCTGGACAGCATTATATTAAGTCCCAATATATGCTTGTAGTCACAGCAGACTGAGGAAAAGTAGTAAAAATATTAAATTACTTTTGCATTCGCTTTTCAATAACTGGCCGCACAACACCGATCCAGTCATCTTGGTTGCATGTTCCTGCAATAAAAGAAAACAAGAAAAACAAATTTAAATGTTTTTAAATATTTTTTTACGACTGTGTTTGTACTAATATTTAAAATTTTGCTTTTTTGAATGTGATCATTCAGGTTGAAACTGTCAGAGAACTAAAATATCAAAATCCCTAATATCAGCAAGTCTCTACATTCACTAACCCTCAGCCCAGTTATCATGGTCCTCAAATTTGGACTAGTATTGCCCTGTCCTCTAACATATCCCTAACAATTAAAACATACAGTACTGTGCAAACGTTTTAGGTGGGTGTGAAGAAATACTGTAAAGTTTGAATGCTTTCAAAAATATATAGTTTTATATAGTTTATTTTTATTAATTTACAAAATGCAAAAGTGAGCAAACTGAAGAAAAATCTAAAACCAATATTTGGTGTGACTACCCTTTGCTTATAAACCAGCATCAATTCTTACAGTTCCACAAAGTCAGGGATTTTGTAGGATTAGAATCATGTGTATGATTAACCAATTATACCATGCAGTTGCTAATGATCATCAATTTCATATGCAGGTTGAAACACATTCATCAACTGAAACAAATAACTGTGTAGGAGGCTTAAAACTGGGTGAACGGCCAAACTCTACTACTAAGATGAGGATGTGAAAGACCCTTTTATGCCACAGATGCCACCACAGCAAGACTGAGCACAACAGGACACAAGGTAGTTATACTGCATCAGCAATGTCTCTCCCAGGCAAAGATTTCAAAGTAAACTGGGGTTTCAAGATGTGCTGTTCACACTCTTTTGAAGAAGCACAAAGAAATGGGCAATGTTGAGGAACGTAGGCGCAGTGGTCAGCCAAGGAAACTTAATGCAGCAGATGAAAGACACATCATGCTTACTTCCCTTCAACATCGGAAGATGTCCAGCAGTGCCATCAGCACAGAGCTGCTGGAAGCAAGTGGGACCCAGGTACACACATCTACTGTCTGGAGAAATCTGGCTAGAAGCAGTCTTCATGGAAAATTGACAGCCAAAATGCCATACTTCCTAGCTGTAAACAAGGGGTTGCAGAAAAATGGCAGCTGGTGTTCTGAAATATTTGGCTGTAGCAGAAGGCAGGTTTGTTTGCAGAAGGGCTGGACAGCAGTACAATAATGAGTGTCTGCAGGCAGCAGTGAAGGACGCTGGAGGTTCCTTGCAAGTTTGGGGCTGCATTTATGCAAATGGAGTTTGAGATTTGGTCAGTATCAATGGTGTCCTCAATGCAGAGAAATACAGGCAGATACTTCTAAATTATGCCATACTATCAGGGGGGCGTGTGATAGGCCCTAAATTTATTCTGCAGCAGGACAACAGCCCCAAACATACAGCCAATGTCATTAAGGATTAATTAGCATAAAAAAAGAACAAGTACTGGAAGTGATAGTTTGGCTCCAAGGAGCTCTGAACTCAATATCGCATCCGACTAGGATTATATGAAGTGACAGAAGGATTTGAGGCAGCCTACATGCACAGAAGATTTGTAGTTAGTTCTCCAAGATGTTTGGAACAACTTGCCTTATGAGTTTCTTCAAAAACTGTGTGCAAGTGGACCTGTGTGAAATAATTGATACGGTTTCTGAAGGCAAAGGGTGGTCACACCAAATTCTGATTTTATGATTTGGATTTATCTTCTGTCCATGTACTTTCCACTTTGTGAATTGATAAAAAAAACTATTAAACACATATTTCTGAAAGCATTCTAAAATTTACAGCATTTTTTCACACCTGCCTAAAAATGTTTACAGAGCAGTGTAACTATCCCCCCCCCCCCAACAAAGTGGTTGTAAAGCCTTAAGATCTTTTTACCTTAATGCATTCTGTGCATTAAAGTAAAAAACTTGTGTCTGGGATAACCCTCAACCCCCTCTTGTACTTACCTGAGCCCTATCATGATCCAGCACTGTGCATGAGAGCAGCGGCTCTCCTGGTTCTGTCCCTGCTCACAGGGCAGATTGCTGCTGTCAAACTCTCTGTCTATGGACGCAGGTAACGGGGCACAGGAGCGTGCCCGCACAAGTGCTCCCATAGCAAGTGGCTTCTTATGGGGGCACTAGATGAAGAGGAGGAGCCATGAGCGCCATCGGGGATCTGAGGAGAGAAGGATCGGGGCTGCTCTAAGTATGACATGTTTATTATTTTAATTTAAAAAAACAAAAACAAAAACGGAAGCTCTTGTTTGAAATACATAAGCGGAGGTTAAAATGTTAGACTAGAGATGTTAAGGACTGGAAAAAAAACTGAAATTTTTTTCCAAAGCAATTTGTCCAGAAAAAAAAAATCGAAGAAAGTGTGGAATATGTTCTTTTAAAAATGATAAATAATATTTCTATGACATGGTATTCAAATGACATAACATGAAGACCTTAATGAAACATTTGAGACTTTATGAAAAGTCTTAAATGATTGTAAGTTCTCTCAGCTGAAGACAAGCAAATCCTGGAATACAATTCAAGTAACACTGTGCTTCCCAATGCAGTTCTCAAACAAGAGATATATACATTTCTGCCACTAAGGTGTACTGTATGGGAAAGGTTCCAGTTTAGTTTGCTTATGGGCTCCATTTTGTACCTCCTACAGTTGGATGATTGTTGGGATACAGTAGATGTTAGTTTCTGTCTTCCTCTCAGGCCTTGACAGGTAGCAGGGTAAATTTGTCTGACAATTTAGTTAATTTTTAGAACCCTTAAATGATTCCTATTAATGCTCTCTACCATCACAGCATAATGTATGCCTATAGTCTGGTCAGTAATTAGTTTTTTTTTTCTCTTCCTCCTCTCAGTAAAATGGTGAGACCAACATCTAGAGTTTGGACACATTTACACATAGCAAATTCTGCTGAAAGGAAAGCTGCAATTTGCAAATATTGTGAGAAGAAATATTCTTTTTCAAATGCTACAAGGAAGACAAAAAACACACCCTTGCATGCCAGAGCTGCTCTAAAAACACTGAATATTTTTAAAATGTTTCCAAAAATGTACATTTTTTTTCTGGAAAAAAAAAACTGGGGAAAAAAAAAAAAAAAAAAAAAAACAAACTTTTTTTCTCATGGCTTCAATACTTCTGAAAATATTACATCTCTAGGTTAGCCGGGCTGGATTTACAAAAGGCATGCAAAGTCCAAGTTGGTGACCTAACTCTTCTGTAATTAACCACTTGCCTACCAGGCACTTATACCCCCTTATTTACCAGGCCTATTTTTTTCAGCGCTGCCGCACTTTGATTGACAATTGCGCGGTCATGCAACATTGTACCCATATGAAATTTTGATCATTTTTTCTCACAAATAGAGCTTTCTTTTGGTGGTATTTAATCGCCACTGGGCGCTTTACTTTTTGCGCTATAAATAAAAAAAGTGCAAAAAATTTGAAAAAAAAAAAAAAGTTTCTTTGTTTCTATTATAAAATTTTTCAAACAGGTATTTTTTCTCCTTCACTGATGTGCGTTGATGAGGCAGCACTGATGGGCACTGATAGGCAGCACTGATGGGCACTGATAGGCAGTACTAATGAGGTGGCACGGATAGGCGGCACTGATAGACAGCACTAATGAGGTGTCACGGATAGGCGGCACTAATATGCAGCACTGATAGGCGGCACTGATGATGGGTACTGATAGACGGCACTGACTGGCATCACTGCTGGGCACTGACTGGCGGCACTGACTGGCACAACCCCTGGGCACTGACTGGTGGCACTGACTGGCAGCACTGCTGGGCTGCACTGGTGGGTGGCACTGGTGGGCGGGCACAGGTGGGTGGCACTGGTGGGCACAGGTAGGGGTGGCACTGAGTGGCACAGGTGGGTGGCACTGCAGGTGGCACAGGTGGGTGCACTGCTGGGCACAGGTGGGTGCACTGCAGAGTGGCACAGGTGGGTGATCTGGGCACAGGTGGGCGGAGCTAGTGGGCGCACTGCTGGGCACAGGTGGGCGGGTGGCACTGCTGGGCACCGATCATCAGGGCACTGATCATCAGTGCCGATCCCCGCTCTGACAACTGCCGGTCCTCGGCAGTACTTTCCTCACGATCTGACAGCGTGAGGAAAGTGCAGCCGAGAACCGGCACTTGCATTTCCCTCTGATCAGTGTGTCATTGGACACCGCTGATCACGTGGTAAAAGGCCGCTGTGATTGGCCTTTTACCACATCACGTGATCAGCTGTGTCCGTAGGACACAGCGATCACGGAGATCGCCAGGTGCGCGCCCCCTGGGGCGCGCAGGAAAGCGCGTTCTGGGAGGACGTCATATGACGTCCACTCAGAACTGGCCGGCCGCAGTGTAGCCATCATTCGGCTATCTGCGGTCGGCAGCTAGTTAAGCAATACAACTCTGGTCACTTCCTGCAGCTAAGTAGAAGCTGCCTGATGGTGTTCATGGTGAAAAGTGGAGAACCAGGCATACCTCTAATTTAAGAGTTTTTTCACAATAGAGTTGTTTTGAAGATATCAGAAGAAGTTACATGTAAATAAAGGATACCACTGTCATTAGCAATCACATATCGGCGCACTCTCATTTGTTATGGAATTATTGATGCATTAAAATCTCAATAGAAAGAAAATACATTTACCTCTAACTAAAAAATATAGCGTTAACACAGAAAATACTTACCTAGGTCAATAGGTCCATCTCGTAAGCCATCCAACTCGTAAAGTCTCCCACTGACTGGAACATAACTTACGAAATGAAAAGCATCGTCGTCTTTTGCTGAAGACTTTGCATCAAACTCAAACATCTGCTGCCTAAAATTAAAGGAAACAAATATTTAGGCGTTTTATATACTTCTATTTCCTTTAATACTTTGTAAACCAGCAAAAGTATGCTTGGTCATTCAAGAACAGAAATTACATTAAAAAAAACTGCTTCTGTCAAACTAGGGAAGTGTCACAACATGGCAGATCAGAAGGAGGTATTGTCAGAAATTGCCAGTGTCAACCCACTGAAGACAACCCTGGTCAGTGTCACAACTCGTCGACACACATCCCTGCACTCAGGGACCCAGATAAGAAGGCCATTCGAATAAAAATGATAAATGTTCATCCAACACTGATCAAAGGTTGTGCGGCTCTAATACGAAGTTGGGAACGCTCGATACAGACTGTAGTAGAGAGCAAAAAACAAAGTGCACCAAATTTGCGCATTACCTCAGTAAACAAATCATAAATTTATTGATAAATTATACTCACAAGAGTAGCAGTAAAAAAGGCATACAACATCCAAAACCAAACACAGGGTTAGGAGACACGTGCAAGTTCCATCCGGAAGGGAGAAACTCTTGGTCAAGCTGAGGTGTTTAGAAGGGGGGACCCTTCTTCCTCAGAGCTCTGAGGAAGAAGGGACCCCCCTTCTAAATGTGTCACTCGTGAGTATAATTTATCAATAAATTTATGAATTGCTTACTGAGGTAATGCGCAAGGTTGGTGCGCTTTGTTTTTTGTTCTCTACTACAGTGTCACAACTCTTCCTTATGCAATACCAACTCCCACACAGTATTCCTTTGACAAAAAATAGTAAACGTTGGTATATATAACCTATTCACTTATATTGTCTTAGTAAGGGGTAGCAAGATTATTAGATTGAAAATGGTTGTCAGGGGACACATGTTAATTAGTAATGGATAGCAGGACGTGGAAACCCTCCAGCCAGTTCTTGTGGGGTTCACATAGAAATTTATATTTGCAGATAACTTTCAAAAAATGTTTATGGACACTGCCAAACTCAGGTTTAACACTAACTATGGCAATTTGGAGAAATAATGCAATGACGCAATGGGCCTGTGTGCAAAAATGTTTGTTTTTAGCTTCTGCCTGGTAAAAAAAGCTTAAAAAAAACCTCAATGACTTGGATCTTATGTACCAGTGTTAAGGTACATTTCTTTGTACATTTTGGTAAATATATCATCTTCTGTTCTGTTACTTGGTACATTCGAGAAGAAGGGGTAGCAGTGTGACCAAATCAAAGTCCTATTCAATTTAACACTAAAACAAGAATTGTGCCTACAGGAGGGGAGAGGACAGGTTTGCTATTCAGTCATAATTTCTTGTCATTGGTGGGAATAACCTGCGGGTTCATAGAGCCTCTTCAGCATTGCCATCACAAAGCTCATGCTCCCCTTCTATTCAATAAGCAGTTATATACTCACAGCTTAGTGAGTAAACCACCATATCAGCATGGCCCAGGTTGCAGGCAGCACAAAAATGGCAGTGGGCCATATGGCATCATGACATCACTTCACTGGGTTTAGAACCACTTTAAAGCAGGAATAAGAAAAATCTGCTTTTTTTTAGCATAACACATTATTTAAAAAAAGTTGGGACAGGGCAAAAAAAAAAAAAAATGTAAGAGTAAGTGGTACTAACAAGGAAGAGCTGGAAGAACAGTCTACAACTAATTAGGCTAAATGGCAGCAGGTCAGTCATGATTGGGTATAAAAAGAGAATCTTGGAGAGCCAGAGTATGGGCAGAGGTTCACCAATCTGTAAAAAGCAGGGTCTAAAAAGTGTCAAACAAATGTCAGAATAATGTTCCTCAACTTAAAATTGCAAAGGCTTTAAATATATAATCTACAGTATAGAATATCAAAAGTTTACAAGAATCTGACAAAATTACCTTATTTTGTTTCTTAAAGTGGTAGTAAAGTCATTAAAAAAAAAAAAAAAAAAATGCTGACAGGTAGGCTTTTTATAACTGAAGAGACCCTAGAGGTCTCGTTTCCTAAATGTCCCCCCTGCCTGTCATTGGGTAATGTGACCTGAGCCACATATGTACAGCTCAGACCACATTTACGGTCCGCAAGAGTGACGTCACATTGGCTCGGCCAATCACGCGGCTGAAAATACAAAGGCCAGAAGGAAGACTGGGTGAAGATGAAAGCACAGAGGAGAGCCCTGCTAGCACATTGCTGGAGGGCATCATTTGTAGGCAAGTCTGTCACAATGTACTAGTATGCATATGATTAAAAGCTGCAGGGGGACCATTTCTTTAATTTTGCTCTTGAGATTTTACTAGAGTTTTAAAATGGCACATTTTCTCAGTTTAAACATTTGATATGTTTTCCATTTTCTATTTTGAATAAAACATGGGTTTATATGATTTGCAAATCATTGCATTCTGTTTTTAAGTATATTTTACACAGCGCCCTAACTTTTTTGGAATTGGAATTGTAGTTCTTCTCAGACTCACAGCATTGTTACCCAAATCAAGCACAGAATCTCAACAATAAAAAGGTTGCTCACAACCACAGTCTGGGTTGAATATCATGCATTACAACTTGTCTGTTATTCTCAATGGGTCCACTGAATATTATCTCATAAAATGTAGAGCCTCTGCAATGGTGGTAAATAAGCCAAATTCAGAAATGTTTTGCTAAAAGTACACCTGCCTTTTACTTGACTTGGAATTCTACTTAAACTACAAGTATTTTAATGGCGTAAATAATATTTTAAAAACCTAAAATTCTCATCCAGCAAGTCCACATGAAAAAAATAAACAAAGGAAGTACCTTGCAAAACTATTATGCACTTGTCGGATCACTTCTGAGTTGCTCAATGCCAATCCTTTCATCTGAAAGACAAAAAAAACACATGTAAAATTCAGGTCAATTGTTCTAGAGTCTCTGAACCCCCTTGACGCTTGTTCACACATTTAAAAAAAAAAAACATTTAATTCTTCAGATAAGCTGAGAATTCTAAACTTTGTTAAAAGGACAGCATGCCAGTAACATGCATGTGATGTTGTATGCTTTATTTAAAAACATGAATTAATTTGTTACAGTTTATTAGTCGCCTTTTGACTGCCAGACCTTCTGACCAAACATAATATTTCAGATTCTTTCATATGCCGAAGTAAATGTGGTTATGGTATTTTTGCATGTATATAAACACACTATTCAAAAATTATTAAAAGAGAAAAACTATAACAGGGCCCTTTATGTCAACAATAAAATAGAAAAAAATCAAAACAAACAAAAACAAAAAAAAAAAAAAAAAAAAAAAAAAAAAAAAAAAAAAACAGTTGGGTGCTTCCCAAATTAGCTGACACTGTAGCTAAAACAGAACAAAAACTATTTGCTTTTATGTACATGGGCTTAAATTGAGCACATTTATTTTTCCTTGAAATGGTTACGTATACTACAGATTGTTCAGTCTCCTTAACCGCTTCCTGACAGCCCGCCCACAATGTACTGCGGCCCGGGCAGCAGCTACAGGCAAAGCGACGTACCCATACGTCACTCTGGCTGTACTAACAATGGGGGGGCGCACAGCACTCCCCCAGCGACTGCTGTGTCTGAAAGACACAACGGAATGAAGATCCTGATGAATGGGACCCATTATGCAATCACATGATCACATGCAAAGCTGTTATGAATCAATCTCATGCATAACAGCTGTGCTTCTCTTCCTAGTGAGCTGTGATTGGCCCATAGCGGTCACACACAGCGGTGACACATGGGGCCAATCACAGCACCCTGTACCATGTGACCAGCTCCAGCCAATCACAGATCACCATCTTGAGCTGTCAGGTTCATCACAACAAGCTTCGCATTGCAATAGAAATTATCTTTATTTCTCCTAAGTGTACGGAAAAAAAAAAACCCTAATCACCCCCCCCCCCCCCTCCATAGTAGTACACGGTTACTATGGTAACATTGTACTATTCTGATAAAAGTATTAAAAGAAATAATAAAAAAACAAAATAAAAAAAATACCATAGTGAGAATTTTTTTGCAAATTTTTCTTTTCTTTTAACTACTTGCCAAGCGCTTACCCGCATTTTGCGGGCGAGCAGCGGCTCTTGGCAAAGCGACGTAATCTTGCGTCGCTTCCTATTTTGGGGTGCGAACACGCCTGCGCCCCCCACCAGTCAGTCAAGGGAGAGAAGAGAGAACACGGCACAGAGTAAAAGCACTACATTTTACACACACACACACACACTAGATTAGCACATTTAACCCTTTCATCGGCCCGTCACTCAGCCAATGCTATTAGTACAGTATCGGTATATAAAAATTTTCACTGATCACTGTATCCCTGCCACTAGCGACATCAGATAACGTCAGAGTCAGTAAGCGCCCCACCCAGTCAGTGTCAGCTAGCGTTAGATTGCCCACACACCAACGCACTCACTCTATAGGTCACTGATCACCTCCATTACTAGCGTAGTCTTTGTACGGATCAATATAATGATCACGTACAGAACTATACTGGTGCCTGCTTTGTATAGTGTCCCCAAAACCGCAGTGTTAGCAGGATCAGCCCTGTTTGCTGCCAGCACTAGCATTTAACCCCTCCGCCATTTTTTCACGGAAGATTTGTACCAATTGATTGTGGGCCAAAGCAATTTATATGCACAACAATACATCGCTACCCACCCAAATTCAGCTCTTGCAATCCGCATGGAAACCTATTACTGTTTCTGAATTTAAAACTTTCTTGGGACTTACATTCAACATGGGCATTACAAAAAAGAATGAATTGCAGTCATATTGGTCCACAGACCTGATTCATCATATGCCCGTGCTCTCTACTGTTACATATATGCCCAACACGGACCAGCAATGTACTGGTACGTCACTGGACTTTGAGCAGTTATATCGGGATGATGCCTGCAGCTACAGGCATCCTGGTAGTTTTTTTCATCTTGCGGTCGGCTTTCATGTAAAAGCAATCCTAGTGGCCAATTAGCTGCTGAATTGTTTTTACGAGCAGCGAGAAGGGAACTTTACTAGTTACTACTAGGTAGTGGGCAAGAGCCTACCTGCCTAGGATATAAAAAGAACAGTGTTCTTTAGGTAAACCTTCTTGATATATACAGTTAGGTCCATATATATTTGGCACAATTTTAGTTTTTTTTCAGGTATTTACCAGAACACACTGAAAAAGCAACCCAGGAGCTTTGGAATGAAAAGAAGTGGAATATTCTGCAGTGGCCGAGTCAATCACCTGATCTTAATCCAATTGAGCATGCATTTCACTTGCTGAAGGCAAAACTAAAAAGGCAGAAAGACCCACAAAGAACAACTGAAGACAGCTGCAGTTAGAGCCTGCCAAAGCATCAGAAAGGAGGAAACCCAGTATTTGGTAATGTCCACGGGCTCCAGACTTCAGTCAGTCATTTCCGATAAAGGATTCTCAACAAAATATTAAAAATGAACATTTTATTTATTATATTCTTTTGTCCAATTACATTTGAGCCCCTGAAAATGGAGGGACTGTGTATGAAAAATGGGTTGCAGTTCCTAAAATGTGTACTTGATAATTATGTTCAACCCCTTGAATTAAAGTTGAAAGTGTGCACTTAAAATTCATTTCGATGGTTTCATTTTAATTTATTCTGGTGGCATACAGAGTCAAAAGTAGGAAAACTGTGTCTGTGTCCAAATATATATGGACCTAACTGTAGTTTGTATATCTAATGAGGATTTTGTAGAGACTGAAAAGTCACATTATAAGATTTATCAACGACAAACTGTAATACCTTATCATACAGCTCTGCCCATAGTATCAGAAAAAGGCAGGCTGCTACAGCTGTGCCTTCTCTTTAAATAATCCACAGTAATCTGGGAATCCTTTGTTATGTATACATTTACAGTAAAAAGGAAAAAAAAAAAAAACCCTGTAAAATAAATTTGACCTCAAACCATTACCCTTTAACCACCTCCCACACAGATAATGTACATTAAACGGGCAGATGGGAGCTTCCCCGTTTTGAGTAAACGTTCCTGTACGTCCCTCAGAAAGGGTGCCTGCGTTTGGCCCCGATGCCAAGCAGCAGCGCAATTCTATAATGGCTGTGTCCCTTGGACACAGCCCATCACAGTTTGGGATATGGGCTCTCCGATTAGCTCGCCCGATCACGTGTCCAATCACAGCCATCACTGAATGTAAACATGTGTCCCTGTAGCTGATTTCCCCACAGAGCTCAGTGAGAGTTAAGTGCAGGGTATGCTGCAGCTGGTGACAGCTGATGATTTTATTGTTCAGCTACACAGATCTCACAAACTGCAGCCATCCCACACCAGTGCACCAAAGCACCATCTGTCCCTGTCCACAGTGCTCAACACCTGTCATAGTGTCCCATAAACATCTGTCAGTGTGCCAGTGTACAGTGCACATAAATATCTGTCAGTGTACCAGTGCACAAAATAAATAAATAAAAAATTAAAAGTACCCCCATCTCCCCTTGCTCACATGCAAAGATGAACACATGCATTGGTCTCATATGCATACAAAAATGGCAATCGTACCAAACATGTGAGGTATTGCTGCGAACGTCAGAGCGAGAGCAATAATTCTAGCACCAGATCTCCTCTGTAAATCTAAACTGGTAAAATTCCTTAAAAGTTTTTTTTTTTTTTTGTGTTCAAAAAAACCGCTGCGCAAATACTGTGTGACAAACTGTAAAAACCCACCATTTTATTCTCTAGGGCCTCTGCTAAAAATATATAACGCTTAGGGGTTCTAAGTAATTTTTTAGGAAAAAAACTGATTTTTACCTCTAAAACAAAAAGTGTCAGAAGAAAGCCTGGTCTTAAAGTGGATAATGCCTGAAGGAAAAAAAAGTATCACACGTGGTATCACCATACTCTGGAGGAGTAGCAGAATGTGATTTGGGATGTAGCTGCAAGTATGCCTATGCCGTGTGTGAGAAATAACGAATGACATTTTTGTAAAAAAAAAAAATTTATTTTATTTACTTTCTTCATTTTCCAAAGAATTGTGGAAAAAAAATATTACGTAAAAAAAAAAAAAATCACCATGCCTCTTACTAAATAGCTTGGAATGTCTATGTTCCAAAAAGAGATCATTTGGGGGGTATTTGCACTTTCCTGGCTTGGCCGATCTCATTTCTTGAGACACTAACATCAGTATTTCAATTGTGATCAGGTGTGATCAATTTCAAAATGATGGATACCATACCTTGTAGACTCTACAACCTTTGCGCAGACCAAACAATATACACGGATTTGGGTTATTTTTACCAAAGCAATGTAGCAGTAAAAAATATAGTCAAAATTATTTGCAAAATTTTTTAACAAAGAAAAATGAGGTTTTATTTCAAACTTTGATAATTTTTCCATTTATAGCGCAAAAAAAAAAAAACCACCAAAAGAAAGCTCAATTTGTGAGAAAAAAAAAATTATAAAAATTTCATATGGGTACAGCATTGCAGCATTTACATTACAGCACTGCATGACTGAATAATTGTAATTCAAAGTGTGAAAATTGGCATAGGCAGGAAAAGGGTTAAAGTGTCCAGTATTGATTAAAACTGATTTGCAGACTATTATCATGAAAAATGGTTTAAAAAAAAAAAAATGAATCAGGTACTTACTGCAGCATCAAAACTTTGGGTAAACTCTTTAAATTCATTGAGTGTTTCTCCTAGGTGTACATCAGGATGATTTGTATTCAACAAAATGCTGACAATTGCTTGAGTAGCACATGCATTGTTTATTACCTAGGAAAAAAGAAAATAAAATGTATGTTTGTCACAACTTATACACAATTAACAAATATGCCAAAGAATTCCAAAAATCTTTATAGTGTGAAAACCTTCCAGAGCTTCCATTTCAACATTGAATTCTACCCTCCATTAGGCTAGGTTCACACCTATGCAGTTTGCATTTCTGCATTGCGTTTTGCCTTTTTGCACTTGCGGTTTTTTAATTTCTCTTGTTGCTAGGCAGATTTTAAATGCAAAACGTGGCAAAAACATATCAAAAATGCAATACATATATTTATATCATTTTTTTTTTTTTTTTTAGCAGAAGCCCAAGAAAATAAAATGGCGAGGGTTGCATTTTTTTTTTATCTCACACAGTATTTGCTCAACGGTTTTTCAAATGCAATATTTTTGGAAAAAATAAACTTTAATGAATCTTCGTGAACAAAAACAATATAATACCCAATTTTTTTGTCAAATATAAAGGGTTACCCAACACTTAATGCTTTAAAATTACATACGCCCATGGAATGGTGACAGACTATGGTACCTAAATATCTCCATATGCAACGCTTTAAAGGTCTTTACAGGTTACCAGTTTAGAGTCACATGGCAGGTCTAGTACTAGAAGTATTGCTCCCATTCTGACATTAGTGATGATACCTCACGAGTGGTGTGATCAGCAGTCACGTGTGTGCGGGACTTACTTTCGCATTTGCACTTTAAAGAAAAAGTTAAAAGGGACAGTAAAAAAAAATTTTTTTTTTAAATAAATCAACTTTATTGCTTTCACAAAGGATGAACAACATTCCTTGTGATAGCAAGCGCCATTACACGTCCTCGTTATGGAAAGATCTGGGGTCTTTTAGACACAAAATCTCTCCTCTGGCCTCCAATGCAACCAATCAGACACAGATCAATCTGATCAGCTTCTTCACTGACCGGTAACAGGCCAGTAAACAAAGAACCAAAACCAAAGTGATAAAATCTTCGTTGATTCCGGTTCCTGATCTCACAGAGAGGGAGGAACAACAATTCCTCTCTCTCCGTGCAGTGCACAGAATGTCGATGGCCAGGCTCTGAGATGGGATATGAGAACCTGGGAAAGGCAGCAGTGGGAGGGAAGGAAGGGCACCCCCTTCCACCACCCATAGGAGTGATCAGGTGGCTGTATGGCCATTTGAATCACTTCTACATGAAACAGCATCATTGACTGCAAATTTTGATACTGGGTTAATGCCTGTAGCTGCAGGCATCTTCCCAATACAACTGCTTAAACCTCAGGATGTAATATGACAACCATATAGGGGAAGTGGTTAAAGTGGTTCGAAAAGACTCAAGGTTTTAGATCTTTAAGCATTCTATGCATGAAGGTAAAAAGCTTCTCTATGCAGCAACCTCCCCAGCCCCCCTAATAGTCACCTAAGCCCCCTCTTGATCCGGGGATGTGCACTGGAGTCTCAGCTATCTCAGGACTCCTTCTATTCATAGGCTGAGACAGCCAATCAGAGGAGAGAGGGGGTGGGGCCAAGCACAGCTGCATGTGTGAAAGGACACATGGAGCAGCAGGTGCACCCATAGCAAGCAGCTTGCTGGGGCGGGGCACCTCACAGGAGGGAGGGGCCAGGAGTGCCTGCAGGGGACTTGAGAAGAGGCGGATCGGGCTGCACTGTACAAAACCACTGCACACAGCAGCTAAGTATAGAAATGTTTATTATTTAAAAAAAAAGCCTTTTGAATCACTTTAAATTAGGGGTGCAACTAATGATTGTTTTCATAATCAATTAGTTGGCCAACTAACTGGATAAAAACCTTAAAAAAATAGGCATAATGTGCAATTTAGGTAATATGTAAAAGTAAAAAGAAAACTAAATTATTCTCGAATATCTATATGCAGTGGTAAATATAAATAACCAGCTATATAGTTAGGGAACCAAATATGTAATCCACTTTCAGAAAAACGGAAAGGAAAAAGATGTATACTTATAGGAGGTTGAATCTGGTACATATCAGACTCAGATCAAAATTTCTATTCAAAACACACACACACTTTTGTAAATATTTTATTATATCTTTTCATGTGACAACACTGAAGAAATTACACTTTGCTACAATGTAAAAGTAGTGAGTGTACAGCTTGTATAACAGTGTAAATTTGCTGTCCCCTCAAAATAACTCAACACACAGCCATTAATGTCTAAACCGCTGGAAACAAAATGAGTCAATATTTTGTGTGGCCACCATTATTTTCCAGCACTGCCTTAACTTTCTTGGGCATGGAGTTCACCAGAGCTTCACAGGTTGCCACTGGAGTCCTCTTTCACTCCTCCATGATGACATCATGGAGCTGGTGGATGTTAGAGACTGCGCTCCTCCACCTTCCATTTGAGGATGCCCCACAGATGCTCAATAGGGTTTAGGTCTGGAGACATGCTTGGCAAGTCCAGCACCTCTATTCTCAGCTTCTTTAGCAAGGCAGTGGTCGTCTTGGAGGTGTGTTTGCAGTTGCTATGTTGGAATACTGCCCTGCGGCCCAGTCTCAAAAGGGAGGGGATCATGCTCTGCTTCAGTATGTCACAGTAAATGTTGGCATTCATGGTTCCCTTAATGAACTGTAGCTCCCCAGTGCCGGCACACTCATGCAGCCCCAGACCATGACACTCCCACCACCATGCTTGACTGTAGACAAGACACACTTCTCTTTATAATCCTCACCTGGTTGCTGCCACACACGCTTGACACCATCTAAACCAAATAATCTTGGTGTCATAAGACAACAGGACATGGTTCCAATAATCCATGTCCTTAGTCTGCTTGTCTTCAGCAAACTATTTGCGGGCTTTCTTGTGCATCATCTTTAGAAGAGGCTTCCTTCTGGGAATCTTATCCTTCTCTCAGCTAATACTGGAATCTTCTACTCTTCCAACCAGTCCATCCCCCACAGTTACTACCTTTTGTACCACTAGCCCTTCCCTCCTAGATTGTAAGCTCCAAGTGGCAGAGCCCTCAAATCCCTCTTGTATTCAACTGTATTGTTGCTGTATTGTCTCTGTATTGTAAAGCGCTGAGCAAACTGTTGGCGCTATATAAATCCTGTATAATAATAATGACAGCCATGCAGACCAATTTGATGCAGTGTGCGGCGTATGGTATGAGCACTGACAGGCTGACACCCCCCCCCCCCCCCCCCCCCCCCCCCCCCCCGCAGCAATGCTGGCAGCACTCATACGTCTATTTCCCAAAAACAACCTCTGGATATGACGCCGAGCATGTGCACTAAACTTCCTTGGTCTACCATGGCGAGGCCTGTTCTGAGTGGAACCTGTCCTGTTAAATTGCTGTATGGTCTTGGCCACCGTGCTGAAGCTCAGTTTTAGGGTCTTGGCAATCTTCTTATAGCCTAGACCATCTTTATGTAGAGCAACAATTCTTTTATTTAGATTCTCAGAGAGTTCTTTGCCATGGGGTGCCTTGTTTAACTTCCAGTGACCAGTATGGGACAGTGAGAGCGATATTACCAAAATTTAACATACCTACTCTCCCCATTTACACCTGAGACTTTAGAACACGAACGAGTCACATGACTCTGGGGAGGGAAAATGGCTAATTGGGCTCAATTTGAACATTTTCACTTAGAAGTGTACTCACTTTTTTTGCCAGCGGTTTAGACATTAATGGCTGTGTGTTGAGTTATTTTAAGGGGAGAGAAAATTTACACTGTGATACAAGCTGTACGCTCACAACTTTACATTGTAGCAAAGTGTCATCACACAGAGTCAGTCAAGCTAAATGAAGGGAGGACTGAGGGGAAGATATACGTTTTTAAATTAAAAGGCTGACACTTTATAGCATGCATACAATTATTTATGTAATGCACAATATTGGTAAACGTTTACTTCAAATTTAATTGTAATGCCTAAATTTATCTTCGGTTTATCAGCCTCCAGCTTCTCTGGGTTCGGATGCTGGGAGGGAATCATACAGCTCAGCTCCGCACCAAGCCCCCGCTTCCTCCTTACAGGCTGTGTTTGACAGCAGCAGGAGCCAATGGTTGCATCTAAGTCCTGTGAGGAGGGAGAGAGGGCAGTGCTGGATTGAGATGGGAATCAGGCAAGTATCAGGGGGGGCAGGGGTGGGGAAGCCGATCTCAGAAAGTTTTATACCTTAAGGCATTCTATGTGCAATTCACACACGGAGCAGCAGCTCGGCTCCACCCTCTCTCCTCATTGGCTCACTGGATGTGATTGACAACAGTGGGAGGCAATGGTTCCCACTTCTTTCTCAGCCAATAAGAAGAGGGATAGCCGAGACCCCAGTACACATCGCTGGCTCAAGAGGGGGAGTATTGGGGGGGGGGGCTGCTGCATACAAAAGGTTTTTTACTTTCAGGCACAGAATGCATGAAGGTAAAAAACCTTGAGCCTTTAGATCCACTTTTAGACACTCCTATATAAAGAGAATGTCAAGGGGGACAAAGGCTCCGTAAGACAGGGAAACATGCTCATAATCCCTGTAAGTACATTGTAGGAGACCCAAACACTTTTTGAATAAGAAGTTATAAAGCTTCCTATAAGAATCTGCATACGGATCCCTTCATTTAGGTAAAATCATCTGTAGCATACAGGTTGTATCCCAATGAAAAGTAAGCCCAGTGCTCTAAAAACCCCAAATTCTTCCAACTTACACCAGGTCTTTAACCATACATTCAGTTCTCCTACAGTCTTTACTGTGCTGCACAAGGCTCAAAATAATTCTGAGAACAGGCCATGAAGGTCTTTCCATTCAACTTGCAGCTTCTTTACATTAATTCTTAAGGATCTTTCATCCTCCATGTATTTTGTCATGGGTCCCAGTATGAAAGCTGGGTTAGGCCCAGCTTCTCCCAGTAATCTGTCTGCTCAGTCCACCACATGCCAAACCCTAGAACCAGGGAGACAGCAAACCAGTCAGTTGAGGCGATCCTTAGAAAAAAATATTTTTCCAGTCCTTCTGATTATAGGATTTCCTATTACCATTAACTGTCTGGGCCTTCCTGCATTACTCTCAACACCCTTACTAGATGGGCTGCTCTTCTGGGTGTTCGTGGTAATAGTGGCATATGAAACTGCCCCCCTCTGGGTTTGCCACCTGAATATTCCCCCAACTTAATAAGGGTACTCAAACACAGGACTTACCTTTTACTGTGAGCCCTTACCATTCCCTTGCTCAGCACAGACACCAGAGAACGCTTCGCATTTTCCCAGTGAACACAAGATACTCCCTCTCCCCATAAAAATATGCAACTAAATTAGAGGCTGGGGGGAGGAAGAGACTGAGCAGTACTTCACTTGTTTAATGGATGTTCTGCTTGATTATATAGTTACAACTGAATTCAATTTTATCATTCTGATAATCATCTACATTCATCCCATATTTCTGCCAAAAAAATGCTGAAAAGCAGCAGAAAAGCTTGGATCCAAGGAATAGTATCCCTTACACTGCTGAGTACCTATTACATAGATAACTATTGTACCCTTTCTTGAGTAGCCAGTGATTTTATGTTATAGCTCATGGCAATCAAAAGACTGAAACAAGTAGCTTATCATAATTATACCCAATGACCTCTCTGCTAAGGGTAAAACCAAACTGGATTGCTGCAAATCTGCTTATCAGTTCTACCAACTATAACAAAGCCTGAGTTATTCAATTTTCCAATGGGTGTATTAACTCAGCTACTGTATTCATTGTTCTCTAAAGCCAGCCTTCTAACTAGTAACTTCAGGATGGTGAGTTGGGAGAGACTGGGTTCAGTGTCAGGGAGTAGGTGGACAAACATTTACTGTGGGATGGTCTCCAAAACCACAGGAAAACTTCAGAAGTCCACTTAAACCAGAACTCAACCCAGAAGGGGAAGTTCTGCTTGTCTGCCTCCTCCCCCCCTCCACTGCCACATTTGAAACTTTTTTTTGGGGGGGGGGGCAGCAGGTACCTGGTTTTGACAGGTACCCGCTTTCACTTCTGGGTAAGATCAACGCAGCGATCTGAGCTGGAAGTTTGGCCCCCCATCCTAACCCCCACACCCTTGTGGGACACTTTACAGGTCCCGGAAGACTGCTGCCATTCACAAAGCACAGCGTGCAAGGTGATATCGCGTGGAGGGGGGGGGGGGGGGGGGGTCTGCAGCTCCACTTTAAACTTCTCAATCGAAAGAGGCTTAAGAATACTTTTGAGGACATTATTTCACTATGACATCAAATAGAGGAGGTCGCAAATGTTTTAAATATAAGTTGCTTATTTACAGTTTTACATGGTTACAAAAAAAAAAAAAGGATAATTTTAAATAAACTTTTTTTTTTTTTACATTCAATACATTGAGTGTGTGCGCTGATTTTTTTTGATTGTGCATCTATCAGAGGATGTAAAAAATCAGAAAGAGGGGAAAAGGGGAGTGGAGAAAGGAATGACGAAGGAAGGAGAAGAGGAGAATGATAGAAGAAGGCAGGGAGGCAAGGAGGAGAGAAAAGGAAAGAAGGCACATAAGGGAAGGAAGGAAGGAAGGAAGGAAGATGACAGAAAAAAAAAGGAATAATAAAAGAAAAGGAAGCTCAATGTGAGGAAAGAATGAAATGTGGAAAAATGGGAATGGTTGAATAAAGGGGAAGAAAGAAAAAAATCAGGAAGGAGGAGGAAAGCAGAGAAAGAAATGAGTGACAAAGAAGGAAAGAAAAAGAAGAGGAGTAAACTACAAGAGGCTGAAGTGAAATTCAGGTTCTAACAATGCTGTGTTAAATCAAATAATAACGGTAACATACCTGCATTAATTTGTGTCTTTTAAAACTACTTAGAGTTTTTAAAATTGATCTTATCTGGTTTAAAACATTTCTATGTAGTAGCAGAACTAAACTGCAGACAACAATATATGTGTGTAAAGCTTTCCACACTAGATTTCTGAATGAACGTTTGTACAAACATTCTGATCAGTACACTTGAAGCCTTGACTAATGCCATTCAAAGCGACTGTAATGATTTTAGAAACAATGTAATTTGACATTCACTAGAGAAAAACATTCCACCATGCCCCTTTGAATTTTCTCACCACTGCATTTCAAAATGAACATCAGTGTGAACCCCTCTGATTAGAAAATCAAATGAATATTCTAAAAATAGAACATACAAATTCTACTAGTGTATGGCCAGCTTTCGCCTTAAAATCAATTTCCTGTTCCTCTGGAGCCCAAGCAGGCCATCATAGTATTTTTGTTTTTAAGTTTGGCTGCACTCTTGCTGATATCCAGCCAACTAGTCTGGAAGTCAAAAATAACCTTACAAAAATCCAATACTCTGGGTTTTTTGTTTTTTAAATACCTGTTTTGCAAAAAATATTGTATCCAAGCGGGAATCTTGTACTACAGATCCAGATGGCTCTTCTCCTGGCTGCCACTTAAAAAGGAAGATCAAACCTTGCACTGGTCTGCAACACATAATGATAAATAGTTTTAACTACACACAAACAGCATTTAAACAATGTGGACCTTAAACATAATAGTCTATCCTGAAAGACACATATAAACAAGATTAGTAGTAACAATGAAGTAATTTCCAGGCATTCATAACAAAAAATTTATTATAAGTATTCAACCCCTTGGAAGTTTTCATCATTATTGTCCTTAAATTAAATCACAGTGGATTTTTTTTTTTTTTTTTTAAAGAGAAAGTCACAGTATTGCCTGCATTTATGCAACTCCTTCCAAGGCAACCAGGGCCTGCTACACAGGAACCTTTCAAAGCATTTTGCTGTCATCACTGTGCTTCACAGCAGAAATGGATGGGGCGTTTATGATTTGCAACTTTTTTATTAACAAATAGAGCAAAAAAGTTGCAATTATAACATTTAAAAAAAAAATTGTAACCAAATTATACATACACAAAAGGTATCTCATAATATATGGTATCCAGCATAACAAGAGAAATACAATTAACACAAGGCTTAACAAATTCCAAGTTGCCATTGCAACTAGAAATTGGGTCCTGGCGCCTGGGCGGGCGGGGGCGCGCACGCACGCACGCACGCACGCACACACACACACTTCAGTGCAAAAACGCCTGTCAATAACATTTCTGGAATTCAGGATTCTGGAATGCACCGCTACAAACTCACAATGGACCCTTTTTTATAGTGTCACTCAAAATACAATGCATGTAGAATGCATCTGTGTGAACCACCTCAATAGAATATATAATGTCTAGCCTGTCATGTGAATCTGAATTTGAAAAACGCATCCAGAATGACATATGTGTCAACCAGGGCAGCTCCATTCACACCTGGGCGTTTTGGGATCATGGCAGAATCTCTGTGATAGGTTCAGGTGCCATCATTTTCAACGGCACCTAAAACGTGGTGCGGTTTTGCTATGACTGTAGTGTGGCAAATCGCATCGCGTAAAGCTTGTCGCTCAAAGGTTGCCTTGCCTCAGGCGCTGACAGCCCATGCTACGCTAAAAAGAAAAAAAAAAAAAATATGCCTCCTAACGTTATTTACCTGGCTCCTAGATTCAAAGCAACATTTGTCAAGCCCTAAATTAACAGCCATAAAGAATATAGTTCCTGACAAAATTCATCCTTCTAGACCAAGATAAAGGCGCAAAAAAAAAAAAAAAGGGGGGGGGGGGGGGAAAATTAACAGATAAGGGGGGGGGGGGGGGGGGGGGGGGGGAGGACGACTGCGGCAATGTACAAATGGGGGGCAGGGAACAGGAAAGTACAGAAATGGGGCAAGGAAGAGGGGGGAAGTGGCATTCCAAAGGGGAACCATCATCTACAAAAGGCTCGTTATCTAGCCTCAAAGGGTCCTCATTTGAGCCCCGGGAGTCTATCCAAGCAGACCATATTTTCTCAAACTTTTTCTGGCAGTTTCTGTTAGTATACATGAGCTTATATAATGGCAATACAGAATTAAAGTGTTACTAAACCCAGGACCCTGCATCCACTATATCTGGTCTCCCACAGTACACAGAACATGGAAATGCAATTATTTTTAGTAAATATAAAACTTCTAAATTCCTTTTTCTCATCAGCAGTTAGAGCAGTCTTGTAACTTCTGTGTCCAGCACACCACTAGCTAAAGCTTGTAGGAATTTTATTTCTGCTCTAGGAAAATGGAAATCACCTGACCTCTGTCTGGACAGTGCTGATTGGCCCTGTGCTGATCACATGCACTCTCCCAAGAAAAAAAAAAACCTCTCTAGCAATATACACCAAACTAAGCATGTGCATGCCAACGGTTTAGTCTGGAGATAAGAGGTGGTCGCTTGAAAAAAAAGGAGGAACAGAGAAGAAAGGATCAAATGGCCTTTTTACACAATTCAGAGGATTAACCCCTTAAGTTCCACAGTGAGTATAACAAGCATGCTTTACTGCATATACAGACTGATTTTACTGTTGCGGGTTTAATAACACGTTAAGGGTTGAATGCCATGCAGCAACTGGTGCTAAGGTAACAGATTTCTAATGGAGAAGTAACTCTCTGTGTGCATAAAACGTGCCATAACATACAAACAACTTAGTATAACATTCTATAACTTAATCATCAAAAATATTCAACAAAAGCCTCTTCAGGTCCAATTCGAAGGTTAGATCGCATACACGATTAAAATCAGCCAATAATGCAGTCCAGAAGGATAAGAGGGAAAGGCAGGACCACACAATATGTAAAAGGGTTGACTTGGACACAAAAAACTGGGAGCAAGAGAAGGAAGTGTAAGGATAAATAACCGCTAATCTCTGAGGGGTATAATATGCCCTATGAAGTAGTTTGAGTTGAAGGGAACAATCTCTAGGTCAAATCAGATTAGTGATATAAGAACTTAGACTGCCATCCCAATTATCGTCCATCAAATCTGGGAGATCAGACCACCATTTTTGGCATACTCTAGTAACCTTAGAAGTGTAGGTCAGGGAAGGTTAGAGATAAATCGAGAACGATTTTTCTAGCACTCTAGCGTTCAATAATCGCTCAACCAAGGTAAGGTAATAGGGGACAGAAACTGTTTACAATCGGCGTGGTGGAGTTGAAAACACCTAAAAAACATCTAATTAGGAAGAGCATAAGTAGCTCTAAAGGTCAGGAAACATCCTCTACTTACCCGTAGTAACAATATGCTTCAGTCCCACCTCCCCAATAGTCACCCAGACTTTGGGTTCTGGAATATTATTCATATGCAGAAGAGCTGGATTTCCCCATAAAGGAAAAACATTTTTGGGAGAGAGATACTTTGCCCTAGCCTTATGCCAGATCGAGATGGTAATCTTTATCAGACACATGACTCCAGGGTGAGACCTTTTGCCCTGGAACACCAGGTTGCTAAGAGTGGAATAAGAGCCTATGATAGCCGCATCCAAGGTCACCGCAGGTTTGTTCTTTGCCTGGGAGAACCACCATATAACTGTGACCAGGATTGACACCCAATAGTAGATCTGAAAATTTGGCAAGGACAACCCACCTTGGGTAAGGAGACAACTGGAAGGTAAACAAGGCCAGTCAAGGTATGTTTCCGGCCCACACAAAAGCAGGTGTTAACGCTGTTCAGTTTACCAAAGAAAGATTTCTGTAGAAAAATTGAACAATTCTGAAAAAAGGTAAGGACATTTCAGGAGAAACATCTTGATAAGATTTACCCTACCCACTGGGGTGAGGGGTAGGGATTTCCACATAAGACATTTCTAGGGAAGGTGTTTAGGCAGGGAAAGTAAATGCAGATCAAAATAATTAGCCATGTGTCCTCCAACCACTACCCCAAGTATTTGAATTCATCCACCCAAAGAGTATTTGCAGGGGTTTAGGATGGGATGGATGAAGGAGGAAAAAACAGGGGCTTCCCCCAGTTAACTTTAATCCTGGAGTATAAGCCAAAGGTGTCTATAATCCAAACGCTTAGGGTAGGGAAGAGGCATTATCACGAAGGTACAGGAGCATATCACCTGCATATAAGGAGATTTTCTCCTTCACAATTCTGACGTGAATAAACCATAATGAGTCTGCATTCCTGATTTGTGTAGCAAGTGGCTCCACAGTCAGGGCGAATAATCCCGGGGAGAGCAGACACCCTTATCTTGTTCCCCTACAGAGAAGAAATGGGAAGACAGTAGCTTGCTGTCATGGACACTGGTTGCAGGGACCTTTTCTGTCCATAGTCACCCTCTTAGTGGTTATATTTCCCTTTTTGTTACATTTTTGAAGGACTATTTTCTTGTATTTGCCCTAAAAGACTATTCCTGGTTTGTTTTATTTGGAACTATACATGTTTGTTGAAAGAGCTACTAACATTGGTCTCTGTTCCATTTACTCCTATGTAGGCACCAGACTGTATGGGGTGGACTCCCTGGCTAATTAAAGATGGCCAAGGTGCCTGGCTGTTCATTAGCTTACTGTTAATTAGACCACTGTTTAATTAGGTTACTGGTTAGCTGCTAGCTGTTCATTAGAAGTGTGTTAGGTGTACTGATGATATTACGGTTTAAAGTTTGCATTGTGTAGGATCATGTGATCAAGCTCTTACTGATTTTGTGTAGTATAAATTTTCAATAAAAACAGTTCCTGTTTGCATCTAAGTTACTGTCGTCTAGTTCTTGGGTGCAATTCCCAGCTATAATCACTTGTTCTTGTGTTCCAGAGGCAAGAAAGCAGCTCTCTGGTGGAAGCACCCAGACGGGATGCCAGGTGGTTTGTCACAGTTGCAAGTATAGCAGACAAATCCAGTTTGTAAATTGGGGCCCTAAGACAAATTTATGAGGACAGTCTAGAGGAAACTCTACCAAATCAAATGCTTTCTCAACATCAAAAGGAGGTTACCCCCCCAGTGCTGTACTCATCTGCCCTGGCAATGTGTGCGAATAGCCTGCGTATATTGATTTCAGTTCCCCTGCCCAGCATGAATCCAGATTGCCCAGCATGTACCAAGGCAGTAATGAGACCTTGTTCAAGCGATGACAGAAAACCTTAGCTAGGATCTTAGCATCCACACTGAAGAGAGAAATAGGTCTGTATGAGGAACAAAGATCCAGATCCCTGTCATGTTTATGGAGGACCTCCACCACTGCTTCGGTCATAGAGGGGGGAAGGGAACCAGCTTCCAAAGATTTTAGCATCATAATATGAAATGTGGGGAGCAGCTCATATGTATGTGTTAAAAAGTTTGGCTAGAAAGCCACCTGGGTCAGGAGTTTTACCGGACTAAAGGCTGGCCACAGCAACCTGCAGTTCCTTTCATGTAATTGGGCTGTCTAACTTGTCCCTACAGGAGGGAGTTAGGCAAGGAAGATCAATGTTAGCCTCCAGAGAGTTATGCAAATCCTGATAAGAGGCAAAGAAAGCATTAATTTGATCAGGATCAGTCAAAACCGCACCAGTGAGGGCAAGTATCCAGGGGATAGATACAGGGGAGAAGTGTTCCTTGGACAGGCACGCCACCATGCGCCCCTTCTTCCGTCCCTGCTCAAAACTACGCTGAGTCTGGTGTCATAAATTAATTTTACTGGCAGAGGTTTGAAGATGAAGCGCATCCTGGAACACCGCCTAGAGGGAAGAACACGCCGAGGAGTCCTGCGTTTGGGTACGACCTGTCTCCAGGGTAGCTGCACTGGTCTGGAGTGGTTAGCATTCAGAACACTGTTGCTGACTTGCATTAGTCTGATGACACTGGGACTGGTTTACCGGCTGTCAGAAACACTGCTGCTGGCTTATACTGGTCTGGTGACAATAGGACTGGTGTAAGAACAATCAAGAACATATTTGCTGATTGCACTAGTCTGATGACACTGTACAGCTGTGGCAGCGATCAGGGATAGTGGCAGGCTGCAGTAGCATGGTGATACTGTACTGGTGTTATTCGTGATCAGGGACACTGGCTGGTTGCCCCGGCATACAGTGTCACAAGAGCAACCAATCTAGTGCCCCTGATCACTAGCCACCACAGTGACACTGTCCTGGGGTGAATAATGATCATGAACACTGGCTAGCTGCTGTAAAGACACTGTACGGTGTAAAAAAAAAAAAAAAAAAAAAAAACAGTCACCAAATACTCAGGATATTGACACATCAAATGACTGTCTAAGCATTTGGTGTGTCAGTAATGTTACTGAAAATGGTCCAAATGCTTGTCTGAACTAAAGATTCTAATGGGAACTACTGCCAGAAAAATGTTGTATATGGTTTATTGAATTCCCCTTAATGATGTTGCGATCAGGGCTCTCTGGGGGCTATACGCGCTCTTTTTTTAATGAAGATAGTTGTTTGTGATATTGGCTGTATGTTTGAGATCATTGTCCAACTGAAGAATTAATTTGGGAATGCTAAGATGCCTCTCTAAAAGGTACTGGATGATGGATAAGTATGTGCTTGTACTTTTCAGCACTGAAAAGACTACTAAGAGACTACCAAGACCAGATGGTTTGCACCAGAAGAGTCAGGTCATTGCCAGACCGCTATGCCTAATCTTTTAGGAAGCTTACTGACCGGAATGGTACCAGCAGACTGAAGGGGCCGAGATACATACCTGGAAACTGCATGCCAGTCAGCCTAACATCAAGAGTTTGTAAACTATTGGAGGGGATGATAAGGAACCATATCCAAGAATTTGCAAATAAAAATAGTATCATTAGTAGCAACCAGCATGGATTTATGAAAGATGTTTCTTATCAGACCAACCTAGTAACAGTCTATGAGGTGAGCTGTAATCTGGATAAAGGAAGGCATGTGGATGTAGTGTATCTAGGACTTCAAAGCATTTGACACAGAAAATTTATGTTTTAGGGCTCGTTTACACTAGAGCTAGCCCTCAAAACAGGCTTCCTCTGTGCCATTTTAACCCCTAAAAGCCCGAACTACAACCGCATGCAGTTGCAACATCACCCCGTTCACTTGAATGAGTGCCTAAAGGCAGAAAGTGAACACAGAAAACATTCGACTTTTTTCAACTATTCACACACAAATCAACTATGCATAATAAAAAAAAATCAGTTTGTTTATCGCAAAAGATGTCTCTATGACAATAACCATTTTTTAATAAATTATTTATTCAAGAGAAAGACAGTCCAAATTGTATATGTACCTGTAAAAAAAAGTAGATGGGGATGGGGGAAAATAAGGAAGAAAGAAAGGGGAGGCATCTAACCTAGAGGGTGAAAGGCATTGTTCAGATGCCCACCTCTCCTCCTGCATCCAAGACCAGTGCCACACATTCAGAAGGCCTGGGTTCAGGGTGCAATCCTCGGCAAGGATGCTAAGGGACTTTGGTCTTTATGAAAGAACTAAGGTGTCCAAACTTGGCAGTGTTTTTTACCCTTCTCCTTTCAAGCCACAGTAAACTGTTCCATTTCTTAAATCTCTGTGATTCTGGAAAGACACTGTGAGATAGTGGGGGGTGAACTTTGTTTCCTCATTACTGTGATGCAGGCTTTGGCAGCATTAAGGAGGCGTTTAAGCACTCAGGTTTTTTTTTTTCCCTGTGGAGCATCATGTATGTGCAGATAAGCAGCTGGGTTACTTCCTAGAGATGCACCTGCAGTGGTTTTTATTGTTTGTTCTACGTTTTTACAATAAATGAAACTACCATAGGCTTTAATACCATTGTTGTTAGGTGTTGGCCATTTTTATAGCCGTGATTATCTAACATGTACTTGTATATGTATGACTACAGGTAAATAAAACTAGTAAGTAAAAATTAAATTTAACTTACTGCAGATCTTCAAAGTGTTCTTGCTCTAAACTCCAGATTTCTTCCACTTGAACTCCTTGACAACCTATGAAAGAAAGAAAAAACTAAACATCACTTTAAAAGCAACTTGAGCTGGGTACACACACCAGTTGAAGGAAAAAATACTGACAGGTCCTCACATCAACACAAGTGATGTTGATGCAGGGATCTCTCCTGGTAAGGACAGTATATTCTGACTGCAGTTGCAGATCGAATGCTGGTCGTACTGGACTTTATCTTGTTCAATCAATTCTGTAGAAACCAAGTTGGAGACCACAATATTCAGCTTAATCAAAATTACCTTTTTTAAAAGTAAAATCTCTTATCCTTTTATCTGGATTTCCCTACCCTAAACTAGTCTACCCTCTCAAGGTACTTACCTCAATCTAGTGGCATTGGCCTTCTTTGATGTTTACATTCCAATCCAAATATCTTCTGTATGCTGGTCACAACTGCGCAGTAGTTTCTAACAGACTTCCATGGACAGTCCTTCAAGCACCTCTGGTAACGAAGGCCCTGCTCACACTGGCATTAGAAACAGGTAGGTGTTTGGGGCAGGTTTTTGCCACTCCCCAAACGCCTAGCAAAGCAGCCTAAAATGAATAATATGGACAGCGCTGTTCACAATTGAAAAACATGTAGCATTTGCATCGCTTTGTGTTGCTGTGTAGCAAAAGGTGAAGCTACATGTTGAATCTGAAATAAGTTGAATCCTGTCAACTCCTTCCATTCAAGTCCATAGTGACGAGTAAACGCACCTGTAGCGATTACAGCGTATTTACATTGTGTTTGAAAAGCGTTTATAAAAGAACAGTGAGATGAAAAAAAAAAATACTTCCCACTTGAAAAAAAAAAAAACCACTATAGGCAGGTTGGTTTACGTCAGCATTAGAATTTTTGCCAAGTGTGAACATAGTCTAACTGTTCTCAAGTGACCATACCAGAACAATGAAATAAGCACGGTTTTAAAACACACTAGGAGGGCATGCTTGCTCAGTCCTGTACTACTGAAATACAATATATGCAAGAGTTAATATCAGCCAGCTACAATTTAACAATGCACAGAAACATTAAAGCAAGAGCTTGTTGGGTAATAGCTATTTTTTTTTTACACCACTTAGATACACTATATTGACAAAAAGTATTGGGATGCCTGCCTTTACATGCACTTTATTGGCATTCCAGTCTTAGTCCATAGGGTTCAATTTTGAGTTGGCCCCACCCTTTGCACCTATAACAGCTTCAACTCTTCTGGGAAGGCTGTCCACAAGGTTTAGGAATGTGTCTATGGGAATGTTTGACCATTCTTCCAGAAGCGCATTTGTGAGGTCAGGAACTGATGTCGGACGAGAAGGCCTGGCTCACAGTCTCCGCTCTACTTCATCCCAAAGGTGTTTTATCGGGTTGAGGTCAAGGACTCTGTGCAGGCCAGTGAACTTCCTTTACCCCAAACTCACTCATCCATGTCTTTATGGACCTTGCTTTGTGCACTGGTGCGCAGTCATGTTGGAACAGGAAGGAGCCATACCCAAAATGTTCCCACAAAGTTGGGAGCATGAAATTGTCCAAAATGTCTAGGTATGCTGACGCCTTAAGAGTTCATTTCACTGGAACTAAGGGGCCAAACCCAACCCCTGAAAAACCTCACACCATAATCCCCTCTCCATCAAACTTTACACTTGGCACAATGCAGTCAGGCAAGTACCGTTCTCCTGGCAACCGCCAAGCCCAGACACGTCCACCGAATTGCCAGACAGAGAAGTGTGATTTATCACTCCAGAGAACACATCTCAACTGCTCTAGAATCCATGAGGACATGCTTTACACCACTGCATTCAACGCTTTGCATTGCACTTGGTGATGTAAGGCTTGGATGCAGCTGCTCGGCCATGGAAACCCATTCCATAAAGCGCTCTATGCACTGTTGTGCTAATCTGAAGACCACACGAAGTTTGGAGGTCTTTAGCTGCTGACTCTGTAGACAACTGGTGACTTCAGCACACTGTGCGCTTCAGCATGCGCTGACCCCACTGTCATTTTCCGTGGCCTGCTACTTTGTGGCTGCTTTGTGGTTGTTCCCACTTTGTTATAATACCACTAACAGTTGAGTGTGGAATATTTAGTAGCAAGGAAATGTCATGGATGGACTTATTGCACAGGTGGTAACCTATCACAGTACCACGCTTGAATATACTGAGCTCCTGAGAGTGATCCATTCTTTCACAAATGTTTGCAGAAGCAGTCTGCATGCCTAGGTACTTGATTTTATACACCTGTGGCCATGGAGGTGATTGGAACACCTGAATCCAATGATTTGGTGGGGTGTCCCAATACTTTTGGCGTGTGTGTGTGTGTTACATTCAAATTGCACTACTGTGCAATTAAGATATATAAATTTACACTGTGCAGCCTCAGTGACTAAAAGCATGGTATTGTGATAGGTTGCCACCTGTGCAATAAGTGCATCCATGAAATTTAATTGCTACTAAATATACCACGGTGAACTATTAGTGGTATTATAACAAAGTGGAAGCAACAGCAACTCAGCCACAAAGTGGTAGGCCATGTGAAATGACAGAGCGGGGTCAGCGCACATTATGCAGAAGTCTCCAACTCTCTGCAGAGTCAATAGCTAAGACCTCCAAACTTCATGTGGCCTTCAGATTAGCACAACAGTGCATAGAGAGCTTCATGCAATGGGTTTCCATGGTCGAGCAGCTGCATTCAAGCCTTAATTCACCAAATGCAATGCAAAACGTCGGCTGCAGTAGTGTAAAGCACGCCGCCACTGGACTCTAGAACAGTCGAGATGTGTTCTCTGGAGTGATAAATCACGCTTCTCTGTCTGGCAATCCGATGGACGTGTCTGGGTTTGGCGGTTGCCAGAACGGTACTTGCCTGACTGCATTGTGCCAAGTGTAAAGTATGGTAAAGGGGGATTATGGTGTGGGGTTTTCAGCAGGGGTTGGGCTTGGCCCTTTAGTTCCAGTGAAGGGAACTCTTAAGGCATCAGCATACCAAGACATTTTGGACAATTTCATGATCCCAACTTTGTGGGAACAGTTTGGAGATGGCTTTTCCTGTTCCAACATGACTACGCACCAGTGCACAAAGCAAGGCCCATAAAGACATGGAGCGAGTTTTGGGTGGAGGAACTTGACTGGCCTGCACAGAGTCCTGACCTCAACCCGATAGAACACCTTTGGATGAAGTAGAGCGGAGACTGTGAGCCAGGCCTTCTCGTCCGACATCAGTGCCTGACCTCACAAATGAGCTTCTTGAAGAATGGTTAAACATTCCCATAGACACTCCTAAACCTTGTGAACAGCCTTCCCAGAAGAGCTAAAGCTGTTATAACTGCAAAGTGTGGACCAACTCAATATTGAACCCTACGGACTAATGGGATGCCATTAAACGTCATGTAAGTGTAAGGGTGGGTGTCCCAATACTTTTGACAATATAGTGTATGTTTACAGCTACATAGCTAAAAGTTTTTTTTCTCCTGTGTGCAAGAGGCCTAAACAAAAGTTGCAGAATTAAAAAACAACCTATGCAATTAAAGTGGTTGTAAATGCAAAAGGTTTTTTACCTTAATGCATTCTATACATTAAGGTTAAAAACTTTTTAAGTTCAGCTTCCCCTAAATACCCACCTAAGCCCGATCTTGGGCCAACGCTGTGTACCTCTGACCAGCTCTGCTCTCCTATGAGCAGCAGAAACCATTGGGAGCAGCCAGCCAGGAGGGCTGGCAGGGGACCCAGAAAAGAGGAAGATGGAGGCTGCTCTGTGCAAAACCATTGCACAGAGCAGGTAAATATTATAAGTTTGTTATTTAAAGGGGAAAACAAAAATTGTACCTTTAATATCACAAAAATATTGTTTTTTTTCAATCCCCATCAACCTTAAAAGGTATAACTTTTTCTTCTACTTTTTCCTAGGAGTGAAGAATCTTTTCTTGCCCTTGCATAATCATCACAGGAGCTGGGGAAGCCAGAATCCAAGAGGACATCCTAGGTCACGATCTCTGGATACCTGATGGATAACAAAACTTCAACTCCCCCTCTGCCCCGCAGTCCCTGCTTTACTTAGCTCTGGGGATGTTAAGCTATCAGTGCCCACACGGCTAGTTCAGCAGTCTGGGGATTTGAAAACCCTGCTCTGCGCGCAGTACTTCTGGGATGGACGAGATCTCTTCACTGTCATGGAACTGGCTTATTTAAATTGACGTTATCCATCCCAGAGAAGCTGAAATCCCCGGCCTGCAAGACCAGCTGTGTGGGCACTGATAGCTTAACATCCCCAGAGCTAAGTAAAGGGGGGGGGGGGGGGGGGGGGGGGGGGGGGGGGGGGGGGGGGGACTGGGGGGGGGGGGGGGGGGAGTTGGAGTTGTGCTATCCAGAGATCTTGACCTAGGATGTCCTCTTGGATTCCTGCTTCCCCAGCTCCTGTGGACACGGATAGCTCAGCATCTCCAGAGGTAAACATGGCAGCAACAATATCCAGTGTTAATTCGCCTTTTCGTTTTTTTGTAAGGCTTCGGCCACACAGAATCTGACTTTGAAATTGTGCAACTTCCCTTGAATTCACATGATTTCAAAGTCAGATGTTTGTGTGATTTCAGGTTCGCCTTGGAAGACATCTGCGTGTTTTCATGCACATATGTCTATGCAAATCGCACCTGAACTTGCAAAAAGTAGCGCATGAACTACTTTCAAAATTGATGTAGTTCTATGAGATTTCAGTGACTGAACATAGATCTACGTTAAGATTGTGTCCAATTAACAAACATGATTATCCTAGTCAAAAGCATAGTAGTAAAACATTACACATTCACTGCTACTAAGAAATGTAATTAAAACCTAAACATTGCTGATTTATAAGGTCTCGTCCCAACGGACACCTGTTCAGCGTGCATGCTGCATTTGTTATTGCGCCTGCATTGAGCTGCACACAAACAGCCTATAGAGGTGGATGCAGGCTGCATAGACACATCTGCATGTCATAATCTGACAGCTGTGCAGATCCCAATACACACTGCCTGTGTTCAGATCCATGTCACTGGCACCTTAAGGAGAAGCAACAATATATTACATTTCTCTTTGGGGGTTTAAACCCACCCATGCATTTAACCCTTGCAGTGCCGTGTTCCACTAGCCCAGCACACAGACACAGTTCTAAATAACCAAGCACGTCCGAACACAGCACTGCACCAGGACAAGATTTAAGTTACAAGAATAATAGTATACTTAGCAGCTGTCATTTATTGTGCGATCAGCACATACACGTAACGCTATCGACTTTCACACTAATGACATCACATTGACTAACAACACAGATTCATGGTGAATGTATGGAATTCATATCTGCAACAGCACGTACCAAAGCCTTTAATAAGCTCGGTGAACACACCGGGGTCACTCTCCATCAGACACCATTCTCCAGCACTGCCCGCCATGTCAACCCTGCCTGCTTCACCGCATGTACAACGGTATTACCATGTGTACGGCTGAGTCATTGAAACATTCAATCCGCATTCACTACAGCCCCAACAACATCGTCACTTCCGCTCTCCACTGGTGTGACCCCGCGTCCGCCAATCTACGCTCACCACACAACTGGGCGGGACTTCGCTCTGTGTCTGCACTTCCGGAATCGTTTCACTGCTGAATGGGTTGATATGCTGTGTTCTATGGCAGTGTAGTGCAGTGAGCGGTTGGTGTTTTGCAGCATAGATAGCATGATATGAGTGTCCTTCCGTCATTTCTCTGTATGTTATGAAATGAGTACAAATAAATATGATTCTTAACGTACTCTATCTAGGGTTGCCACTTCATCCCTTTAAAGCCGACAAACATATAAATTACACAGGTTCTGAGGCTAATTCAAGACACGAGTTCCCCCCCTTCCTGACCAGGCCGTTTATTGCGTTATGGCTCTGCGTTGCTTTAATTGACAATTGCGTGGTCATGCAACGCTGCAACCAAATGAAATTTACGCCCTTTTTTTCTCATGCATTGAGCTTTCTTTTAGTGGTATTTGATCGCCTGTGTGTTTTTTATTTTTTGCACTACAAAAAAAGTGACAATTTTTAGAAACAATATTTTGGACTTTTTGCTATTAAACATGTCCAGTAAAAAAATTAAAAAAATCAAATTTCGTTATAAATTTAGGCCAAAATGTATTCTGCGACATGCCTCCTAGATTGTAAACTCCAAGGAGCAGGGCCCTCCTATCCCTGTTGTATTGAACTGTATTGTTGCTGTATTGTCTCCCGTAATATTGTAAAGCGCTGAGCAAACTGTTGGCGCTATATAAATCCTGTATAATAATAATAATGTCTTTGCTAAAAAAAAAATTCCAATACATGTAAAGTAATTAAACCAATTGGTTTACGTGAAAATTATAGCGTTTACAAATGGTGGTATAGATACAGGGATTTTTCTTTTTTACTAGTAATGGCGATAATCAGCGACTTTTAGCGGGACTGCGGAGGACATTCTGACACTGGGTGGGAACTGACTTGGTGTCACTGACATCCCTACTGACACCAATACAGTGATCAGTGCTAAAAAAAAAAACACTGCTACAGTACTAATTGCACTGTGCAGGAAGGGGTTAATATGAGGGGCGATCAAATGCGTAGGGAGTGTTTTACTAGGGGGCGGGGTGTGTAAGCACACTGCTCTGGATGGCTGTGCTGTGCACAGCCATCCAGAGCAACGTGCCTGAGCTGACAGGGAGGAAGACTGTAAACAAAACAGTCTTCCTCCCCGTCGGAGATGCTTGGTAATAACCGTCCGGGACCTGGTGATTGACAGCCACGAATGGCGACGCGGGTAGGGCTTGCGCGTGCTCCCTACCTGGGAATGCAAAATCATGTATATGTACGTGATTTTGCACAGCCCTGTAGCAGTATATCTGCTATACTGCAGCGGGGAAGCGGTTAATTGCCACCTTAATCAGCCATAAAACCTGTGTAATTAATGTGTTTGGTTTTAAAGGGATGAGGTGGCAACCCTAATGCAGGCCATAGATGGGCCGAAAATAAAATCGGCCGATTTTCAGATCGTTAGTGGGCTAATTGTTCGGCCGTTTTTTGGTATTTTGGCAGATTTTTTTTATCGGTAAAGTTGTAAAAAAAATCGCCGATTTTGCCGATCGGCAGATTTTCGCAGCAATGATGGGCAAATCGGACGATCTTTTTACCGATAAAAAAATCTGCGCATGAGCAGTGACCTGCAAGAGGAAGACAAAAAGAAGAAGAAAATAGAAGAGGATGAAGAAGAAGAACAACAAGAAGAAGAGGAGAAGAAGAGGATGAAGAAGAGGATGAAGAAGAAGAAGAGGATGAAGAAGAAGAGGAGGAAGAAGAAGAGGAGGAAGAAGAAGAGGATGAAGAAGAAGTGGGTGAAGAAGTAGAAGAAGCAGAAGAAGAAGAGGATGAAGAAGAAGAGGATGAAGAAGAAGAGGATGAAGAAGAAGAGGATGAAGAAGAAGCAGAAGAGGAAGAGGAAGAAGAGGATGAAGAAGAAGAGGATGAAGAAGAAGCAGAAGAGGATGAAGAAGAAGAGGATGAAGAAGAGGAAGATGAAGAAGAAGAGGAATTCCAGTCCGGCAAAAAATGTCCCTGCAGAGAGCTCCGCTATTTCTTTGACGGTTCCTTGACATTTATAGCGGTTGCAACAATCTATCTATTTGTTTCCGAATAAAAACATCTGTATCCTAAATGGATACAAATACATTGTTGCAACCACTATAAATGTCAAGGAACTGTCAAAGAAATAGCGGAGCTCTCTGCAGGGACACTTTTTGCCAGCTGTAGATGGGATGAAAATCGGCCAATTTTTTTTACCGTTGCTGGTAACGTCGGCCGCTTGAACGACCGATTTTTCGTTTTTTTAAAGAAAAATCGGCCGATTTTCGACCCATCTATGGCCTGCATAACTCAATCTATGCTGTGTCAGCTGATGACTTGGTTTTGTATTCTATTTGGCTGTTCATTATATTGATGAACGTTTCTGATTTTATAAAAAATGTTGAAAAAAATGCAAACAGGTGGAATCTTTTGACAGAGGAGACTTTTAATGACTCCTCTTTACAAAAAAAAAAAAAAAACGGTCTCTTTTTTCCTACCATGTGCTGGGCAGCTTATGCTCCCAGAATCTTGAAGTCCAACTCCAACAAAAGTCATTTCTATAACAAGCAGGCTATGATTGCAGAAGGAAAATGCAATAACTTTTATGCAATAAAATACACATACAGTGGGGAAAATAATTTGATCCCCTACAGATTTTGTATGTTTGCCGACTTACAAAATAATGAAGGGTCTATAATTTTTATCATAGGTGTATTTTAAATGATAGAAAAAGAATATCAACCAAACATTAAGAAAAACACAATATAAATGGTATAAATTGAGTTGCGGTTCAGTGAGTAAAATAAGTACCGGTATTTGATCCCCCTACCAACCAACAATAATTCTGGCTCCCACTGGCTATCTGCTCATGTGGTACACACAGGGACGGACTGACAACTCATGGGGCCCCCGGGCAATAGGGGATCATGGGGGCCCTGTGTCCTTTCCCAAACTCAAAAAAGCCTATGAAAAAGGTACCAGGGCATCTCATGGGGCCCCCTACTGACCTCGGGCAGTGCCGGAGTTTCCAAATGGTCAGTCCGCCCCTGGGTACACAGATTAGTCCTGTCAATTTAAGAAGGTGCTCCTAACAACAGCTCGTAATGTGTATAAAAGATACCTGTCCACAAAATCTCTTTCTTCCATTTAAACCTCACCATCATGGGCAAGACCAAAGAACTGTCGTCAAATGCTGTCAGGGACAAGATTGTAGACCTGCAAAGGCTGGAATGGGCTACAAGGCCATCAGCAAGAATCTTGGTGAGGAAACAACTGTTGGAGTGATTGTTTGCAAATGGAAGAAATATAAAATAACCATCAATCTCCCTCGGTCTGGAGCTCCATGCAAGATTTTGGCTCATGGGGTAAGGATGATCATGAGAAAAGTGAGGGATCAGCTCAGAACTACACGGGAGGAGCTTGAGAATAATCTTAAGGCAGTTGGGACCACAGTCACCAAACCAACCATACGCCTGCCATGAATTGAAATCCTGCAGCGCTCCTCAAGAAGGCACATGTACAGGCCCGTTTGAAGTTTGCCAATGAACATCTAAATGATTCAGAGTAGGATTGGGAGAAAATGCTGTGGTCAGATGTGACCAAAATTTAGCTCTTTGGCATTAAATTGATTCACTGTGTTTGGAGGGAGGAAAATGCTGACTATGACCCTAAGGACACCATCCCTACAGTCAAGCACAGAGGTACAAACATTATGCTTTGGGGCTGTTTCTCTGTTAAAGGTACAGGCAGACTTTGCCACATTGAGGGGCCAATGGATGAGGCCATACATTGAAAATCTTGGATGAGAACCTTCTTCCCACAGCCAGAACTTTGAAGATGGGTCGTGAATGGGTGTTCCAGTATGACAATGACCCAAAACATACTGCCAAGGCAACAAAGGACTGCATCATGAAAAAGCACATTAAGGTCATGGAGTGGCCTAGCCAGTCCCCAGACCTTGATCCTATAGAAAACTTATGGAGGAAGCTGAAACTTTGAGTTGCCAAGTGACAGCCAAGAAACTTAAGTATTTAGAGAAGATCTGTAAAGAAGAATGGACCAAAATCCCTCCTGAGATGTGTGCAAACCTGGTAACTAACTACAAGAAACATCTTACATCTGTGCATGCCAACAAGGGTTTCTCCACCAAGTACTAAGTCGTGTTTTGCTAGGGGATCAAATACTTATTTTACTCACTGAACTGCAACTCAATTTACAACATTTGTATCATGTTTTTTGTGGATTTTTGGTAGCTGTTCTGTCTCTATGATTTAAAATGCACCTATGATAAAAATTATAAACCCTTCATTTCTTTGTAAGTGGGCAAACTTACAAAATCTGCAGGGGATCAAATAATTATTGTCACCACTGTAGCTGCCTGCTTTCAGTCTTCTGCAGGATGTACACTGAGCTGATCATGCTTACATCACACAAGTGCAGACGTTAATTCATTCCGTGCTGGTCAATGGAGATACCAGAAGACCGGAACCTAGAGAGAAGACGCTGCCACCAATGAGGGATCTACAGTTAGTAATGTGCCTTTTGTTCCACTTTAACCACTTGACCTCCAAAATGTTTTACCCCCCTTATGACCAGGGCATTTTTTGCTATTCAGCAGTGCACTGTTTTAACTGGCAACGGCTCAGTCATGCAACATTGCATGCAAATTGCATTTTTATCTTTTTTTTCACACAAAAAGAGATTTCTTGTGGTAGTATTTGATCACCACAAGGTTTTCGTTTTTCAGTAAAAAAAAACATAAAAAGACTGAAAATTTTGAAGAAAATAAATACTTTCTACTTTTTTTTAATAAAAAATAT